CGTGGCATAGGAAAGACGATGAAAGTTACCGTGAATTGATTGCTCAATTACATCGGACACGGTGGGCCAAAAGCCGAATTTCGGGGCCAAAAATCCAAAATCGGCCCTGAAAACCGGAAACACATTTTCAGATCACTGATGTTAGTTGTCGGACTTTCGTCCCCGTCTTGAGTTGAGATGTTAGTTTCACAACGTTTCGGCCAGTTACTTCTCCGGCCGTCGTCAGGTGTTCTTTGGCCCTTGGGTTCTTTGTCTGCCTCGATAGTGGAGTGGTTAGAACCGTGGACTATCACCGGGGAAACCCGAGTTCGATTCCCGCTGACTACAGGAGCTTTCGAACGGTATGACGCGTACGGCGCAACGCCACCAACATCCAGGTCCTTCTAAGGGCCAAAGAACACCTGACGACGGCCGGAGTAACTGGCCGAAACGTTGTGAAACTAACATCTCAACTCAAGACGGGGACGAAAGTCCGACAACTAACATCAGTGATACTAACACCTCGTCTCAAGCATTCAGAAGAACTACATTTTCAGATCAAAACTAATGCCCATTTCGGTTATGATAGGACCCAATGAACGAGAAAAATTTGGTCGCTTTCCAGGAACAGAAAATCTTTCATTTTTTGTTGCATAGTGTTATTTGTTTAAAAACTGTTCATACTCCATCACTACGGGAAAAGCCAGAGTTTTGTGATTTATAGAGCTGAGTACCCACTGTGATTCTGTGATTTTGCTACTGTGATTCAAGTAGCAAATTGTCAAATGGCTGGTGACCAGTGACCCAACTCGTGTTTGCGCCCCCCCCCCCCGCACTCAAACGCCCAACACGGATAAGTATGTTTATCACTGTCTGGTGGGACAATGTGAGGGAGTAACACATTAATCTTAACTCTCGCCCGTATTGGTGTTTTTCCAGCCGCGAACTTATAGGGGGGGGGGGGGGCGTTGGACCTTGCCCCTTGCCGTTTTGCCGCTGATCGAGCTAGAGCTTCGCGGAGAAAGCCACCGTGTTGCCCGTCACGAGAGGAAGCCAATGCCCGATACCTCATTTTAAGGTCTTAAGTCATCGGTTGACCTTCCAGGTACCAGGTCAATGAGCCAAAAGTCGGGAAAATCGCGGTACCTGTTACAGCGTCGAAAAGGGTGGCTGTTGTTTATTTTCGGGGTGCTTATCACGAATATCATGTTAGTTATGATCATAGATACATTTTGAAAGACAAAGTTGAACACAGCGATGAGATACAACACAGCAGTGCTGCAATGAAATCCACCATGGATATTGCTCAATTCTCAGGACTTCTTACAACACGGAATGTGTGCCCCAACTATCAGTTGATACCTATAGCTTTTGAAAGCACGTTACACACAATGCGGAATCAGAAAGCTCTCAGACAGTCACAACATGGTAGGTACCTATGTGACAATGTTCACCCATGTGCATTCTCAAAAGTGCAAACCATCTTGACTAGCTCTGGGCTTGGCACTAACAAACTGGCTACCTTACTTTACACAAACTAACTTGGCACACCCTCTTGAGATTGCTGTCCAATCCCATGCTTATTCACAGTGTTTGTTGACAAGGCGTTCGAGAAGCTCCATCTTCTTCTTTGCTACATCCAGCTTTGCTTCCCGGTAAAACTCCATTATCCAGGCATCCTGCAGGGATGTGTTGTCTGAGTCAGCACGCTTCCTTTTTATTCTATTCTCCTGCGAGATGTTGCCAGCCGATGAATCTTGCAGTTACACCCCCTGCTGCTCGTGCTGCTGCTGCTGGGGCTGGAAGTGGAGACAAGTTGTGGATCTACCTGGGTTACCTGTAGGCTGTAGTGGCTGGACACTGTGCGGCACAGTGGAAAGACGTGCCACATTTGGATCCCTTCCCATCACTTTCTCCATGGCATCAAACCATTCCCAAGAAACAGCTTCTGAGCCACTCCTTGACATTTTGTCTTTTACTTCTTTGTACTTGTTAACTAGCCTGTACCATTTCTTGAGCAAGAACTCCCAATCTGGGACCAAGTATCCCTGTTCTTCAAAGTCCAGCTTGACTTCCTCCCACTGTTTTGCTTTTGCTGTTGAGTCCACTGCACTGTTCACCTTGGCTTCATTGCAGGCATCTACCAGCAAAGCTACTGTACCCGGGTTTACACTTGAGACAGTAGCATTGTGATCCTCAGACACCTCTCCTCCTTGCATACTTATCATTGGTCCACTGTGGTTTGGGCAGTTGGGACTCTCCTCCATAGTTTGAAACAATCCATCACACGCTTCGCAGAGCCACATTGTCCTGGCAGAGAGAAATGTCTGTTAAAACAAATCCTAAATTTTGGTGGATTTTCTGGGGTTGTTTTTATGCTATATTTACTGGGTTTATTGCCTGAACAGGCTGTAAAATATAGATGCTAGGCATGTGTTCACTGTTCACATTTTTTAGCTTGTGTAAGGTGGTATATTTAACACTGACAAGTGTTCTGAAAAAATCTGACAATCACTTAACCCGCGCCCTGCTGGGGGGGGGGTGTTTGAACACCCCCCCTGTGGTTTTTCGCGAATATCTCAAAAACGGCGGCGCGGAGCGCCGCCGTTTTTGGTATACCTTATGATACATCAATTCTACACATGTTGTAAAAATTTCAGACCAAGGTCATTCAAGGTCAGGTCACCAGGTCACTTGAAGTGACCTCACCTCATAAAAAGTTTCAATGTCTGTCATAGCTACACCGAGTGACCGATCGCTTTGAAACTTTCAGCGATTGCTAAGAGCAATAGTATGTACAAAATGTATATCTCAGAATTTTGATATCGATGACCTAAGGTCAGGTCAATTTTGCGACCTCCCCAATAAAGTCAATGGGAGAAAATTGAAATGCGCCTCTTTTGGACGAAAGACATTATAAACACTCCCAAACACTGAATTACAAGTGGTTTAGACACACTGAACATGAAAATGGTGTCCGTGACCCCTGTTTATGCCCTGAGGTCATCTTAGGTCACGAATAGTATCTAACAGTTTTTCGCAAATAACTTTTGATAGAGGCATGCTAGAGCGATGAAAACGCCTTAGATGTGTTCAGCTCGACGATACGGATCGACTGATATGCAACATGACCCTTTCCGGTCAGGTCATGACCTTGACCTGAGGTCAAATTTTCAAGTTGACCTTTCAAGGTCAAGTTATAGTTCATTCGATGCGTCTTGACGAGAGGAACACGATGCCGGTAAAAGTAAGCTCGTACAAGGCTTGAGTCAAAAGTTATTGCAGAAAAACTGTTTCCGAAAAAATCGGCTATTTTTGCAGTTTTTGCCCCCTGCAGGCAAAACCGTTGACGTTAGGTCAAATCTGAGAAAATTACTCAGAAAGGACGTTAATAGGGCTATCGAATGCGCTTTTCCGCGGCGCTGTAGCTCTATTGGTTCCCGAGTTGTGCGTTGGCTTCTTGGAAATTGTCGACATTCGACCTTGAAATCGGCAAAATTTTGCCTTCAATGACCTCTGGTGACCTGACCTTTGACCTGACCAAAAAATTGACCGAAGTGATTTCCTCATTATTTTTGACGCTCTTTCGAACGCCGCCTTCTGCGTGTCGCTACGTGGCCCAGGAGCCGAGTTAGAAGGGGGGGGGTGTTCAAACACCCCCCCCCCCCAGCAGGGCGTGGAAATCCAGGACCCCCAGCCGGGCGCGGGTTAACACAATGTACCTGGCTACCTATATAAGGTGCAAGCGCCGAGCACCATGATGACAAGACATCAACATTGAACCAATAGGTATGTTGGGATATACCTCCCTATCCAAAGCAACATCCAATTAACAGGTGCAGTTTCTTGATTATACTTCTAAGCACTACCAATTTGGACAATTACAAAAAGGCTTTGCTGAAAATGAATATGAGATCACTAGAAAGTGTGAGTGGAAGCCAGTTAACAAGGAATACCAGACAACGCATTGGTTTTAATTTTTCTTACTTCAGTGTAGCCCAAAAATAAAGAAAACTGAATTTGTATTGTATCAATACAGGTAAAACGAATCCTATGGCCTCAAAACCCGTACATATCATGCTTACACATGCATGTTGCCTCCAGTGGACGTCGCCATCTTGTAAATAGCGCTCGGGACAAGCTTTTCCGAATCCCTTATTTCACGTGAAATTTCGCGGGATTTCACGGGAAATTCCGCGTGGAATAGGCAAAGAACGCCTTGATTGCCGATTCCACGTGAAATCTGCTCAACGAACGCACCCTAAATTTCTACTCCAACGACATTACCATACACGCTCTGACTTTGAATCGAACGACAAGTTGATGCATTGCATTACTGTGTTTTAGTTTTTTTTACGTGTCATGCCTAAAAAAGGGAGCTGAAGTGTTCTTGAAAGCATTCATTGAAGCAATAAAACTGGTGCTAGGAAACCGTTCTATACATGTAAAGTTATGTTTTTCATGTGATATGAAAATGTTAGTGATGTTTCAGGTATTACGAATACATCAAGTGATGTTGCACACGGTACTTTGAGACGCGCCCGTGCCATTGATTCGGTAGACCACAAGCTCACCTTTCAAAATGAGGTACAGTGGCAAGCAGATGAATGCATTGTCCCCCACGTTTTGTGCATTCCAGCGTCCAATATCACCACAACAAACAGTCGGCAGAGAACATACAAGAACAACGCTTTTTGAGCAACATGAGCACAATCTGATATAGTGCTGTACTACTACTACTCTTTGCATTTTGCATGAAATAATATCGTCAGTGCTCTCACTGCATCGACATGTTTCTATATGTTAGAGCCCGATAATATTCTGCGACTTCGGTCAGTTCCTCGGTTCGGAGGCACTCGAGCGGGGCAGATAAGAGAAGTCTACGGCGCTGGCTCACTCCCCTCCGCTCGGCAATAAATGCCGCCAGTGTGCGGGGAGGGACAGTCGCGTCGCGGGCGGCTCCGCGTTCCGCCCGGATGAGCTGGGCTGGCTGGGAGGGGAGGGGGCGGCCGTCTGGGGCTGGGATGGGAGGGAGGCGGCCGTCTGGGAGGGGTGGGAGTCGGTGGGCTGGGAGGGGTGGGAGGCGGCCGTCTGGGAGGGCTGGGAGGCGGTGGGCTGGGAGGGCTGGGAGGAGAGCTCAGAGGTAGAGGGCTGGGAGAGGATGGAGGTGGGTAACTGCGAGAGAGGCTGGGATGTCTCTTCTTCTACGAAGATCACATTATCTTTGGCCTCCGCCCACGTCTCCGGTGTCAGAGCTCCGCTGCCGCCCTCAGCTGGTTTCGGGTCCTGGCCGAGAGACTGCAGAGCGCGCCCGGTACCACATAGTCGTAAGCTGAAAAGAACACATTTTGGTTAAAGAAAAGCGATTTGTCCCAGCACCTCCTACGTACGAGTGCTAGGCAGTTTTCCATATATCAACGGCAATTATTTGTACGGTTGGGCCACTACTAGTAAACATTCCGCAATGGGTGACGTTTGACCCGACTATGTGACCAGACATTGAAATGAACGGTATTAAATTACTCACTGCCGTCGTCCAAGCTCAGCGCCACCTCGTCTAAGTCGGTTAGGCCGTTCGTGTCACCTCCAATGCCCGTTGACCGCAACTTGTTGCGTTTGGCTGTGGAAGGAAAAACATGGCAGGGCAATGCTAGAAAAACAAAACACTCCATTCACTGTACTGCTGTACAGTGTAGATTTTCGCATCATCTGCAAACAATTTCCCTGGTGATTGTAGGTCATCCAGAAGGTCGTTAATGTACACCAGGAACAGTACTGGCCCGAGAACGCTGCCTTGGGGGACGCCGCTCCACACTGCTCTCCATCCAGAGCAATGGCCCCGAATGCATACTCTCTGCTTGCGAGTCATCAGGAAGTCATCAATCCACTGCAGGATCTCTCCATCGATGCCAGCACTCCTGAGCTTGACAAGCAGTTGCGGATGTGGGACCGAGTCAAACGCTTTTTGACAATCCAGGTACACAGCGTCAACGCAGTAGCCATCATCGAGGTCATTCTCCAGGTCAAACATATACTCAAGAAGTTGAGTGACACAGGATCTCCTGGACCTGAAGCCATGCTGGTTCTGAGTGATAATATTGTGTTGTTCGAGGTGTTCCACTATTCTTGTCTTCAACAGCCTCTCCAACACCTTGCAGGGGACGGATGTCAAGCTTATTGGACTGTAGTTGAGTGGCTCGGTGCGTCTCCCTTTCTTGTGAATCGGTGTCACGCTGGCCTTTGTCCAGTCACTGGGGAGCTTTCCTGCTGCCAGAGACTTCCCAAAGATGATCAACAGCGGTTCTGCCAAGTTTCTAGCACAGCTTTTTAGGACAACAGGATGGATCCCGTCTGGGCCAGGCGCAGATGGGTTCAGCTGTGTCAGTATGTTGTACACATCATCAACATCAATTTCACACCTCGTAAGTCTGTCATCAGCAGGGAATGGAGGGCCTGGGGGACATACTCCAGCCGTCTTGTTGAATACTTTCTGGAATTGTTCATTCATCTCTTCACATGTTTCTTCTAGTGTCGTTGTCGGTTTCCCATCTTGCTTCTTGACCATCAGTATGTCTTCCGACCCCCACCAAACACGATTTGGCAGCACTGTAAGGACGCCTGCTGGGCGTGAAGTTTTCCCTTCACCATAGGGTTTACACACAAACTGGTCAAAGTTTGAGCCAGGATATACTAGTCTAAAAATGCAAAAAACGAACAAATTTTGGCATCAATAGATTCAGCATTTCATCGTGTGCCTCAAACCGTCCATCATTTGGCCTCAAAGGAGGTAAAAATTGTTCAAAATCGAAGTTGAAAAGATGCTTTCTGAGCACATAATCTGGTAGCAATCACGTGACCTGCTATAAGCAGCTTATCGATAATTTACAAACATAATTATTAATATGCTGCTTTAAACAACATTAATCATACATTTTGAGCTTTCAGTACTTTAAATAAGGTCAAAACATCGCAAAACACAAAAGTTAATACAATAGTCACGTGGGTGTCAGGAAATGTCACAGGTGCGTCAAATTTGTGACTGGGGCTTTACTTTCAAACATCGGATCTACCTGTTTCTTATAGGTATCTTGATGTCTTCCTTGATTGAGGTCTTGCTTCGAGCATATGCATAAAATGCCTTTGGGTTGGATTTTATTTCATTTGCTAATTTGTGTTCGAAGTCGTTCAGGAGACCTAAATAATCTTAAAGGGACCCTCCCACCTTAACATTAGATTTGAGTTGAGATAGCCAAAATGGGGTCCCTGGCTCACAATTACCGGTTTCGGCACTCACAACATCGAGAAATCCCTTAAATCGGAAATATTGAATTTCAAAATTGCAGCATTTTGATTCAGAGGGGCTAATGCTTAGGAATACCCCTCTGAATGTGTGACGTCAGCGCAGATATCTAACGATTTTTAAATGTTTGACTAAAACGTTTTGTAGCACGCGGTGGTATATGCTATTTGCGCGCAACATCTGCCGCAAACGCCGCACTTCTAAAATAAAGTCGCTAGAAACAGCGGAGATCCCAAAAAAGTAAACAAAAGTAAAAGTCTAATATCTTGAAAACCGGTGAATATTTTTCGGTGAAATTTGGTAGATATTCGTTTTCGCTCTTTCTGAACCGAGCGACATCACTTTCATGCCAATTCATAAACTTTTTTGAAGGTGGGAGGGTCCCTTTAATCCTTATGCTACTGGGCGCCCGGAGCATTCGCTAGCATTCCGTTGCCAGCTGCATTACCAACATCACATTTGCATTACTTTGGGTTCTCCATAGTTGACAGTAGATGAGCCGGCCACAGCAAACCCATCCCTCATTATCCTTTCCTTCCAAGCAGCCAACTGCCAAGCTAACCGGCCGCCCGGCCCACCACCGCGATATGGAACAACGCTGGAGTGCGCCATTTGCCTGCGGCAGTGCCCCACCGCGCCGGGGCTGTTTGACAGGTCACCCGCACCTTGACCTCGCCACCCAATAGCAAATAGCAAAAAAGCGCCGGCAAGTCAGTAACCTCTAAATTTCTCTGTCGTGACAAATTGTCATCCTTGCGGGCAGCCAACTGTCAGGCCAGGGCCAGCGATTACTTACCCTTTGGGCCTTCGGCCTCGGACGCTCCGCTCCGCTCGGTGCTCGACCGGCTCTGACGCCTGACGGTCGAAAAGACTATCGATAACTATCTGCCGATTCCGGTCAGCCGCAGCCAGCTGCTCACTGCGACTGCAGAGCGGGCAGCGGCACCGGGACGGCGGCGGCGCGACGTTCAGCACTCTGCACAGAGAGGGCGGTCGAACGATCGTCAGCAGATTTCAGACAGCACTAGCAGATGCCACTAAGTCTCGATCGAAAACTAATACAGAGCGGGTTTAAAAGGGATGATCAGAAGAGCAAAAAATAAGACAGTAATCAGAAGGCAAAAGGCAAAAGTGAAGAGAGTAATCAGAATTGATGTCTTCCATCGAATGGACCATGCAATGGATAATGGATAAGGCCATTTTGAATTGTGTATGCTAACTGGGCACTGGCAGCTAGAATCCATGTCTATTGCCAAGTGTCACCAACAAAACCACTTCCAAATATAAGTATAAAGCACGTGCAGTCACAATATGAGGAATAGCTTATGTAAAAAACATGGTAGTGCATTACACATACCTATCTGATCATGACTTCAAAGTTAAAACTGAACTCTGGCAAAATGACGGCATGAGAGAAGATACTCTCAGAGATATTTCCTAAATCCTAAATAACAAGGCTAGGGTAGTAATGAAACTGAAGCAGGCATCACACTCCTTTTTTCAATCAAGGAGATTTGCTATACCTGGAGATGATTCTTTCTAACCAAACCAAGCCCAAGTCGTCCAGTCCAACCAAACCAAACCGACACCTTACCTGAATTAACTGAACCTACCACCTAAAACCCTAAACCTATATATAACCTATAACCTTTAAAACCCGCGCCCCGTAGGGCTACCGGCGGACCCTACCACCCGTAGGGGGGGGGGGGCGTTTCGGCCCCCCCCCCTAAGATCTCGGAAAGTTACCGGGCGATTTTCAAAATTCAAACGGCGTTCGATAGCCCCACCCGGGAACTACCTTGTGACCAAATTTCATTGACCTAGGTCAAACCGATGACGTCACAGGTCAGGTCAAAGGTCAGATTTTCACCGTTCACAGGCATTTCAAGAAATGTGTTGTGAAATCGAGTTGATTGGTAATTTATTGAAAACCATCGATGGTACATTGTTCGTCAAACACATACTTTGCTATCTGAGGTCACTGATACCAGGTCAGGTCACAGCGAGGTCAGGTCACCGGGGTCACAATATGAAAGTGTGTGATACATGTTTTATGGTCCATTTTACATGACAAATGCGATTATGTGGGTTAGGCAGCCTTTGGGGCCAGCCAAGGTCACGTTTTGGTGAAGGTCAGGTCAAGGTCAGGTCAAATTTCAAAGTTGATATTTTTGCATAAAATGGGTATCTATTCGATGCAGCTCGTCACGGGGAGTCTTATGGTGGTCTTTGTTTTGCTCTACGAGGTCTAGAACTGCCAAAAATTGAGTTTGAAAATTTGACGTCATCAATTTTGAACAGTTTTTTCGCTATAACTTGGCCGAAAAACGAGGTATCGATCTGAAATTCGGTATGTAGATATAAGACGGTAGGTACTATCACATATATTCCGTTTTTTTTTAACTCAAAAAACTTTTTGGATTTTTTGGCTAATATATCCAAAAAAATTTTTTTTTTGATTTTTGGGGTTCAAAACTCAACAATTTCAAAAATCCGAGATAGCAGTTTTGTAGCCCTGTCAATTCTACACCTTTTATGTCTGGTCATTTTTCTGTATCTTCAAAGCTGTAAGCCTGACAGGTCTTCTCGCGAAGGTCTCTATTCGGTCGAAAATGACAGAACATGACGTCATTCTGACGTCATTTGTGGCCAACCTATCATAGCCTCTGGAAAAATTTTTGGTCACAATGTGTAAAATTGATGCCCGGAGGGGTCCTGAAAGTTTGGTGGCGATATCTGAAGCGGTTTAGGAGATATCGACCGAAAAGGACAGGGGGGGGGCGTTTCGCCCCCCCCCCTACGGGGCGCGGGTTAACATATTATAACCTAAAATTTATCACCTAATAACCAGCCCCCGTTCACGAGCTTCAGAATTCCTTTACCGTGACGTCATCACGGCGCATGAATTTTCCTTCACCCATAGAAATGCATGCAAAGCATGGTGTGTTTCAGGCGGGCTAAGGAGAAATCTAAGGCCTACATGTGTTCAAAAGACGTACCACTAAGCCAATGGATTCGTCTCATTACGATAAATAGGGTTGAAATCGAAACATTCGGCCTATATTTATCTAAAATGGGCCAATCAAATGGTCCCTGCAACTCATAATGAAGGATTTCCTCTGCGTTGAAAAATTTGTTCCAAGTGTTTTTTCATCAGCGACAGGGGAAATCCTTCATAATTGCTACCAGATTACTACCATATTCCCCTCGCATTTCTGTTGCGCATTGCCTCACAAATCAGCGTTTTGTGAAGTTAATATTAATTTAATTGTCATATTTTGACTGATTTTGGCGATTTTCAATTATTTCAACGCAGCATGGATCAGATAGCTCTCAGAGTTTGCTGAAGAATGTGGCTTTAACTTGGTTATTTTCAAGTTATCTGTGATTTAGTGCGCCGTGATCGTAGCATTACAGGGTGTCCGGAAAGTCCTGGCGCTTTTCAACATTTTTAAAATAAATGCCTTTGGTCCATAGATACTCAACAATAGAACGAAACAATAACCAGGAACACCAAGCCACATCCTTCTGCCAAGTGCCCATTCATTGTAACCACCGTCTGTGCCGACGACGGACTCGACGCAAGGGCGGAAACGCCTGCGGGATTTGACGGTGCAGGACATTTCCTGTCCTCCCATGCTGTCATGATGCGGGTGTTCAGGGACTCCAGGCTGGGATGAGAGGTGGCCTAGAGCTTATTCTGCAAAACGCGTAGCATGCCTTAGTCGAGCGGGTTAAGGCTGTGATAATAAGGTGGCCTAATCTCATTTCACCTCGGTGATCTGGTCCGCCGAGCTCCTCTGTCAGTTTGGTTTGGACGGCAGCGGCGTTGTTGGAGGGCGCTCCGTGCTGTTGAAGTGCGACATGACCCTTAGGGCAAGTCGCCTTGATTGTCGTGTCCAGGAACCCCTCGTGGACCAGCCTATCAGTCATTTATTTGACCTTGACGAAGATGATGGGACATTTGTGTCCATCAGACCCAAGATTTTCTTCGATTGCCGCTGAAATGCTGCTTCAGTCTCAGCAGCTTTGGCATACAGTGGTTGTAGCTGAGTGAGAATATTTTCTAAGACATTTCCGATCTGGAGTGCACCTTTGCCTGCTCAACCGTTCGCCGGGAAACGCCGCATCGCGTTGCAACTCGCGCCTCGTTCAAGCCGCACCGGGCCCCCGCGCGCGGGCTCTCAGCGACAAGGCGCATCTTCGCCCTTATACCTAGCACTGAAAACGGTTTCAAGGTCATATTTACGCGACCCCTAGCTGAGCGGTGAACGAGGGGTCATATCTGCGGTGATTGGTTGAAAGTCCAATAATCACAGCGCGCGTTAGACGACGTCCAAAAGAGGCGCCAGAACTTTCCGGACACCCTGTATACAAATTATATCAACTTTAAAAATTGAATCAACTTTTGAAGTGAAGTTCACATGAAAAATCAAAAGTTCAAGCATAATAATTGTTTAAACATAATGATGCAACATGTGTCTCCCAGATGGAACTTATATTTCAATTGAAAACTGAAAATGGAAAACAGAAGATGGATCTGCGGAGTTACTGAGATCAGGGGTGGAGAATTAGGGGTTTTGGGGGTGCTCGAGCACCCCCTGAAATTCAAAAGTCACCGTGCAATAGTGCTCCAGGGGTGCTTAACTTACGTCTGAGACACAAACTGCTTTGCGTAAGCCGCGAGGAGAGTGATGCGGCTTGGAAAACGTACCTACACATGCTTTTCTACGCAAGAATTCGAAGCTTCCATTCGCGAGATGCTAGAGAAGCACCCCCTGGGATCAGGGGGGCGACACGGCTATTCACGCAATGTATTCATTTGCGGGCCCCGGTGGGCCTCGCGATGACGCGGCTGGAGGCAACCACTCAGCGCGCTAGGATCCTTCGGGCGGGGCCGGGCACCGTAAGGTGTGCAATGAATGGGCGGGCAGACAGAGATGAGGTAGGTATTGAATTTGAAATGACATCATGAGCAATTGGATGGGGAGAGAGAACGTTTCTAATGGAGCTTGGGATGGGGGAAAACCAAAAATATCACGGTCGGTTCAGTGCTCCGACGGGGCCGGGCGCCGTACGGTGCGTAGTAATTTAGACGGGCAGACAGAGATGAGTTATCGGATTCGGCTCTCTGGTGGGATTTTAAGACGTTATTAGTCAAGCTCAGGGTGGGGCAGCCCGCTGGCGATTGCAAGGGAAGGTATTTGGGACAAATGTTGTCCCCCACAGGCCCACATCCGGGGCAGCGTCCGAAATCGTTTTTCGAGAATAAAACGAAAACTTCACAACTTTTATGAGGAAAAGTTTATTGATCGAACTGCACAGTAGTGCGCAAGGAATCGAAATCCGATGTTTTTTTTTAAATTCACAGAAACCTTTTTTAGGGTATATGCCCCCCGATGTGATCAAGACCGCTTCGATCCGCCAGTTAAGAATATGTCACGGTCGATTATCGAGCTTCGGCGGGACTGGGCGCTGTATGCGTCGTACCTACAATGAAGAGGCGTACGCCGTACAGACACCTCACCCCACATCCTACTGCTCTATCCGTGCCTCTCGGTGAAGCACTGAAGCATCACGGAAGCCCACAGGACCTGCGAGTCGACGAGGTGGCCGCCGGATACTGCAGCTCCCCGGAGTTGCCCGGGACCGAGGGTTTAACAGTAGTAATTTCACTGGTGGTGAATCCTCGTAATGTAGAGATAATATCCTCAAGGACCTCCGTTACGATTTATATTCCTAAACAATATGGCACACCGATTATGCTTGCCTACGTTCAGGCATTATCCCTGACGCTTATCCGCCCACTACAACATGTGTTGTCTGTCAATTATCAACCATCGCTCGACGACGGGATCAATTCTAATCATCGATATTCGGTTGTCAATTCACCCACCCCGTTTCCCTAAAAATAGACGGGTCAGACTCGGCCTGGGTCCTAACGAGTCCTAGAATCGCCAGAGACGGGATCGGGTCGCCGTTATTGCACCGGTCTTGGCGTCTTTTGGTACATA